AGGAAGTCAAGGCTAATCACACTCCCTGATTTAAGTTGGTTCATTTTTAAAATTCTTGAGGTTGTTTTTGATACTCTTCTCAATGCTCTTTAACTTTCGGACAAATATACTGTTGTTGAGGGTCTTCTTGAGCTCGTTTACAAGACCAACAGCCATTTTTATAGATTAGTTGGGACATGATAAAAATAATGAGATGGTAAATTTGATTAGGCTACACATGGGGATCTTTTTCTTTAATTTCAATGGGTAAAGTGTTACCCCCTCCACACTTGATATCCTTTCCTTCGATAAAAATGGTATTATTACCGGAATACATGCTCAGTTTGATGGCTTGGTGTTGGGTTCTTTTTTCTAACTCAGCAATTAGTTCTAAATCGGAAATTTCTTGAAATTTAGTATGGAGGAATTGGTCTCTTATTTTACGTTCTTTAACGTATTTCTTTAATTCTTTGGTAAATTCAACTCAATATTTTTCTTTGGTTTGGGATAATTCACCTACCTTTATCTTATTGGTATAATGGAAAGTGTTTTCCCATAAATAGCAGTCTTGATTTTCAATTCAAAAACCAATTTCTTTAGATTCTATTTTTTGTTCTAATTTTTGGAGTAATTGTAAATTTTCTGGATCTCTAAACATATTGTATTGTATTTGATTAACTCCACTTTAATCCACAATATATGAAAAAAAAAAACCGACAAAAGATAAAGTTTTGGGCGGGAGTTTAAAGGGAACCCAAAATTAATAAGTTTAAAACTCTTTTAATAGTTAATTGGTCTCCTAAGATTTTCCAGTCTGCTAAATGGAAGTATTTTCCTCTTTTCTGATACTCAAACCAGTAATCATTCCCTACTGCTAACTTAGAACCTCATTTATTTTGGTCAGCAAAAAGATAAAGCAGTTGGTTACTTTTCAAAGTTAGCGTTTTTTGACCGGTTAATTTAAAATACTTTTGAGTTAAAGTTTGGCGTAAGTTTAATTTCAAAAGATAGTAAGGCTGGCTGGCTTTGGTCTTTTTGAGATATTTTTCTACTAGTTGAGCAATTACTACTCCTTTTTTGGTCATTAGGTTAGCTCGATTTGCTTAACTTTAAAAAATACTCCTTGATTAGTTTGATTAGGAAGTTCTTGATAAGTGATTAAGACTTGCCGGTTAATAAAGTTCTGTGGAGTATTAGTTAAAGAGGTAAAAATTTCTTGATTTAGACTATTACTAAACGCATAAAAATAACGGTTATTTAAGCCTTGGAGACTGATCCGAAAGTAAGGATTATAGTTTTTATCTATTTTACTTTCTATATCTAATAATAAGGCTTTAATTTGGAGTTCAGGAGGCATGTTTTAAAATATTTCGAGTTGAGATTTAGTTTTAGTGGCTTGGCATCTTGGACAAGGTTGAGTGGTGATTGATTTGGTTTTTCACTGGCAGAGAATAATTTCTTTAACTGGTCTTAATTGTTGACAACTAGGACACTTAATTTTAAAGAGTCGGAGTAAAATTATGACCAAAAGTAAAATTCCGTAAATAATACCTAACCAGAGAGTGAGTAAAATGATGATGAACATAAATATAGAAAATTAGGTGGTGCGGCATGGACTCCGCACCAGATTAGTTCCCTTAGCTTACCAATTTAGGCGGGAGCACCAAGTAAGTGCTAAGGGAAGCAGAGAACGCGAAAATTATTTCGCTCTTACTTGGTTCAAATGATTCCATGGAACTCAATGATTAAAAATTCCACAGTTAGTGTCTCTAACTTAAATTGGGGTTCTCTGTTCAAGGCGAATAAACTGGTAGTTCTTTTCCAACCTAGTGGTGATTGCTTCTAACTGTTTGCTAATTTGTTTTAAAAGTTGAGTATCCTGTTTGATTTCTACTTCTTGGAAAGCATTATAATAACCTTTCATTTCGGTTTGTAGTGCTAAAGGATCTTCTTTAATCTCAATTCAACCAAAACTAGTTCGGCAGAGTCGACAAAAAAATCTCTCTAAATTATCCGGATATCCTGCTCCACTTCAGCCTAAAGTAGTCAAAGATTTTTGATTACAAAGCGGACAAGGAGTTTGAAATGTTTTTGGAACTTTACCAAAACCTTGATTTCTTTCTAAATGCTTTTGCACTAAGAAGTCAAAAATTTCCATTAGGTTTTTCTTTTCTAGTTCTTCGATTTCTTTTTCATCAGCCACATATCAGAAGCGGTTTTTTTTCTGACTGTTGCCTTCTTTAAAGTTTTTTTCTAGTAGAGAACCTATGGTTAAGTAGCTAAAAACTAATTTTTTTTGTTTATAACTTTCGGATACTTCTTGAGTGTAAACTTCAATCTCAGTTAGGTCTTTTTTTAAATGGTTAATTATTGGGGGATTGTTATTCATAGCGATAATTCAGTTGTCAGTTATTTAAGTATTGGTTGCGAGCTCGGGTTTCACAACCGCAAAGTTCATTCAAGGACTTGATGGTTTCGTGTTGAGTGTCATGGATAATGGGGTAAGTCAGGAAGTCTTGGGATTCTTCCAAGTCGTATTCCTCAGCATAAGTGTCTAATTTATCGATAAAGGC